CAAAAAATGGTAGCAGCTAATCCAGAAGAAGAACGTGAATGGGAAGGATGGGCAAGGCGTTTGGTGCAGCCTCTACAAAGAAAACTGGTTGATCAATTTTCTCCCGGTGAGTTTTCACTTTTCACTGACGCGTCAGCCGTAGCTTTGGGAGCGGTTCTTGTAACCCCGGAAGGCACGTTTAGGGCTGCTAAAAATTTATCTAATAAGGAACAGTTGCTCTCCAGCACAAACAGAGAACTCAGAGGCATTCTTTACGGCATTAACTCACTCAAACACAAAATTCCTAGCGGGATCTCACTGAGAGTTTTTACAGATAAACAAGGTGCAGCAGCCATAGTAAATAAGGGTAGCATGAAATCAGATTTACAAGCGCTCTCATTGGAGATTCACAAGTTTTCGAAGCTTAATCAAATCGTAATTTCTAGTTGGTGGATCCCCAGGGAATTAAACTATGAGGCAGATGAAATGAGTAGGCAAATTGACTTAGATGATTGGGAAATCAAATGGGAGGTAGCACAGCTAATCAAGCGGCGTTTTGGGGGTGCAGATATAGACATGTTCGCGGACGAGAAAAATGCAAAATGTAATTTGTTTGTTTCTAGATGGTCTTGTTCGAAAGCAGCCGGTGAAGATGCATTCGCGTGTTTGGGACTGTGGGCCCCTCCAAATCGACTCTGGTGTATTCCACCGCCCGCCGCCCTCTGCAGAACGATCAGGTTGGCAAAGTTTATGCAAGCCAAGGGAATCCTTGGGTTTCCTAAATGGACATCACACCCAGTTTGGCCTTTGCTGATCAATCCTCAGGGAGATTTTAAGCCATTTGTATTGGAGCGGTTAGAATACGGCCCCGGTGCTAAAATTCTTAACCCATCTTCAATCGGAAACTCAGCGTTTAATGGGGAATACACCCAATTCCCTTTTCTTTTTATAAACTTCGATTTTTCCCACCAGAGGGCTTTATAATTCTGAAACTTTACCTACCTAACTCACAACAAAATGTGCACAAAATAATATTTTGTTACTGGAGCGCAAAAGGCGCAATGAAATGAAGGCTTTTGCAGCGGAAGAACAAAATATGTTTTTGTGTACATTCTACCGTACACTCAGCTTAGTGCATGCTAAAACGTGGACTTTTTACAAGATGCAAAAGGCTAAAATTTGGAAAATTTTCTCATTCTGGTTCAACGATTAGCAGAGTTTAGCTTATAATCCCACCCTCCCGTCCCTAAAACGTTCACTCATACAACAATAATGTTTTGCTTTAGTCGATCTCTTCCTGGAGAAATGGCAACCGATTCTCAAAGTGGCCGCGTCCCTCGACCTTCCCCAAGCCCTCAACGAAAAGATCAGCCTCATCGCAACGAACGAATTGGCACCGGCAACACTTCGTCTGTACGCCCAAGCAGAGAGGTCGCGACGTGCGTTCGCTGAGAAAATTGACTGCAATCGCGACGACTCGATGTCACTGATCATATTTCTGCTGAACAAAGTTGGAAAGGTTGGTCCGGCCAACCTCCACCTCAACATCGCCGCGTTTAAATTCTTCAATGGAGAACCAAAAGGACAGCACGGGAGGTTCTTGACGGCAATCACCCAAGCAGCCGCTCGCACGACGTCAAGTACACATCGAAGGCCGATCCAGGCTCAGCACATCCACAAGATCATTGATTTTGGCACAACGGCTACCAAAGAGGTGGAATTGAGGACAGCTACTATGGTTCTGCTGATGTATCTCGCATTCCTACGTGTCTCTGAAGCAGCATCTCTCAGATGGGAAAACTTGACTGAAGGGGAACCAGCAATCTGGAAAATTTTTATCCCACAAGCCAAAAATGATCAGCTGAAGAAAGGACATGCCACTTTCGTCTCGTTCAAGAAAAACGGCAAGGCAATGGAACTCTGGGGTCGATGGATGAGTTTGAAGAAGCAACAGGATCAATTCGTTTTCCCAAGCAACGACAAGAAGAGCCCAATCAACTCGAGAACCGCCGCCAAACATATCAAAGAGCTCTTCGAGAAGATTGGACTTCAAGGTTTCACATCACATTCGCTGAGGGCTGGAGGAGTCACTGCCGAAGCCGGAAAAGGAGTTTCGCTGGAAGCACTGCGTCGAAGAGGTCGCTGGAGCTCGGTGGCCGGAATGGGACCCTATGTGCACGATTCAATTGGAGCTCAAGGAGGAACGACAATGATATAAGCCTGAAGGTAATTTCACTTAGTTGTATGTTTATTCTTGGTATATGATTCACTAACATGGTTGTTTTTTGATTGGCTAAGATTTTAGCCCTGCTGTGATCCGATGTTGTTTTCTTTTTCTCTGCTAACCGATAAACTTTACCTACCTAACTCACAACAAAATGTGCACAAAATAATATTTTGTTACTGGAGCGCAAAAGGCGCAATGAAATGAAGGCTTTTGCAGCGGAAGAACAAAATAGCTTTTTTGGTGGTGAAGGGAAGATGACGATGAAGGAGTGGCTTGTCACTTTAAAGAACTGGGGCCACAACCACCAGACTGCCCTCCAGAAAAACCTCTCAACCCGAAGGGAAAGGAAATCCGAAGGGGGTGACCATGTCGCATGTGGGGTTCGAACCCTCGACCTTCCGAATGAAACGCGTTGTAGCGCCGGCAATTTTTAACTTAAACTCACAAATTTGGTATCAATCGACGCAGAATTGAATTCGCTACAAGATGATATAATATTGTCCTCATACATTAAAGAGTTGCTCTACTAGAAAGATTTGCCAAATGTCTACAAGGGGAGATCTATTGAAAATTGCTGGTTACAATAGCTTTCTTCACCATTCACCGTTCATTTAACATAATTATTAATGATTCTGCGTTGAATGGTACTAAATACTTGATGGTTGGACGCTCCTAGACCCACTCATTCATAATCGGCTACGGAATATCGATCAAAACTTTTGAAGTATCGGTACGCATAACTTTCAACCTAGCTTTCTTCACCATTTACCATTTACCAGGGTTGCTTATTCATTTTAGCTCTATTAAGTCTCATTTAAGCCAATCTTTTCTTAACTATGTAAAAAGTAAAAGAAAATAATGCTATAAGTGAGAATGTTATCTAGAAAAGTTAGAAAACTTTAGACTTTTACTTCCCTCTAAACGAGAAACTTCCATTTTACATGCCGGTTACAATAGCTTTCTTCACCATTCACCGTTCATTTAACATAATTATTAATGATACTAAATACTTGATGGTTGGACGCTCCTAGATCCACTCATTCATAATCGGCTACGACATATATAAAATATAAGATAGATAAATATATATAGATATATAAGATATTGAAAAATTTAGCTATAGAAATATCTAAGGAATTTCAAAGCTCAATCTTTTACTTTAAAACGAAAAAAAAACCTCGGCAAAGTGGTGGACATTGACTGGAGAGATCTGAAAGCAATGTTTATTATAAAAGAGATTATTCTTATTGTCAATACATCTAATTTTTCTTAAATTTTGTTTGATTAGACGAGATAATTTTCGAAATAAACAGCTCTTAGCAAACTGACACTCAATCGCAACGAATCCATGCGTTTCGTATTGTTGTAATCGGTGACTAAAGAGGTATTCTCGAAATAGTCAGCGCAATTAGTCGGCATTTTGATCCCACAATTTTGTCCCCATCGAAAAGTAACCATCTTTGGATTAAGGATTTTCCTGAAAAAGAGGGAAATACAAAATGAAGTCATGGCTTGAGATTTGAATTAGAGAATGTCTAAGAACCTTAGAGAATGCCTAAGGACCTTAGAGAATGCCTAAGAATCTTAGAGAATGCCTCAGAATCTTAGAGAATGCCTAGGAATCTTAGAGAATGCCTAAGAATCTTAGAGAATGCCTAGGAATCTTAGAGAATGCCTAGGAATCTTAGAGAATGCCTAAGAATCTTAGAGAATGCCTAAGAATCTTAGAGAATGCCTAAGAATCTTAGAGAATGCCTAAGAATCTTAGAGAATGCCTAGGAATCTTAGAGAATGCCTAAGAATCTTAGAGAATGCCTAAGAATTTCTGAGATAAACTATTTATCCAGATAGGGTATTCTAACCGGGTCATTGAACTTGTTATAGAAATTATAGAATCTTTATTTCTTTTTCATTTTTGACTTGTAATAACCATTTTTTCCTTCTTCTATTTCTTTAATATTTATTTTTTAGAAAGATCCGGCGTGGAAAATCGCTTTTGTGAATTGAACAGATGAAAATTGTGATTTTGAAAGTTGTCGAATCGGAAGATCGCAAAGAAAAAGAAGCGCTTGCAGTTTTCGCAAAGTTGTTGCAAATTTCTTGAAGAATCCTTTCAATTATGGCAAGAAGAGGTCTCTGAGATGCAAAGAAAAAGAAGCACTTGCAGTTGTTACAAAGTTGTTGCAAAGTTGTTACAAATTTCTTAAAGAATCCTTTCAATTATGGCAAGAAGCAGTCTCTGAGACGCGAAGAAAAAGAAGCGCTTGCAGTTGTCGCAAAGTTGTTGCAAATTTCTTGAAGAATCCTTGAATTATGGCAAGAAAAAGTCTCTGGGAAGTCATCGAAAGCTCACGGTCCACAACGGCTGGTCCAAAACGGCTGGTCCAGAATGGCTGGTCCACAACGGCTGGTCCACAATGGCTGGTCCACAACGGCTGGTCCACAGCGGCTGGTCCACAATGAAAGCTCACGGTCCACAATTGGACGTCTGTTGTTATTAGAAGATGGCATATTGGACGTTATAAGCCTATGTTATAAGACCTGACAAGAGCAAAAGAAGGCAATAGGTCAGATCAAGACCTAGCTTCTGCCTTTGCCGAACACCATCTGATTTACGTGGAAATTTTTGTTTTTAAACAACCCTGCTAAAACATCTCGTAGGTGGAAATTGGTGAATCGCTGGAAAACTAATTTTATTTTCTTTTGAAACTGTTGGGAATTGAATGGAGTTCTTCAATAACAAATAACAAATAACAAATAAACAAATTTTCTCAATTTCTTCAATAACAACTCACAGAAAAGTCGAATGATGACTGAATCGGCAACTCGTTTGAAAGATCAAAATCCCGTCTCCGCGTTGATGGTCTAATTCGAAAATTTTCCCTTTACCTATCTTTTCGAAGAGATCGAAACGATTCTTGAGGTACAGCCTCAACCAGAGATCATTCTGAAATGATTGTTAATTATTTTTGACTAGATAATTTCAATGATTATGTTCTTTCAAGTACTCACAATGCTAAAAACGATCTTTCGAATGGCAGCGTTTTCGAAGAAATTCTCATCACATTCATTCAACGGAATTTGTTGAAATGATTCACAATGTTTCATCGTAATGAACGATTTCTCCGGTCGATTGCCCTGAATGTAAAGCACTAGATCTAAGATTTTGATTTTGATCACTAGATTTTGATTTTATCTAATCAAAATTCTAACAAATTCCCTTTTCAAAAGTGAACCCAAGTTAAAGAATAGAAGAAGAATAAACAAATTTAAATATATGTCGTAGCCGCTTACGAAATTCAGCCGCTAACGAATGAGGGTATTTCCGGGCATCGAATCAAAAAGTCACCCACATAAAAAATGTTCATAATACATATATTTTATAATAAATTTTTGAAATTAGCTCATTTGGTTCAGTAGGAAAATTTTTTTGAGCCCCCAAAGTTTAGGTTCAAAAATGGCTATAAAAGATTTTCTGCTCAGCCAAAAAACTTGCCTAATAGCTCATTTTGTAGCCAAGTTGATGTAGTTTCTTAAAGTAAAGCCATCTAAAACAATTTTTCGTTGAAAGTAGGGGAAAGAGGGCGAGGAACAAATTCAGGGCAATTCTCAAATGTGAAAACAGCGACCGGGTTCAACTGAAGTCGTTCCTCGCCCACTTTCTCCTAGCTTTGAAAAACAAATGCGCAATGTAGCTTTACTTTAAGAAACTACATCAAATTGGCTACAAAATGAGCTATTAGGCAAGTTTTTTGGCTGAGTAGAAAATTTTTTATAGCCATTTTTGAACCTAAACTTTGGGGGCTCAAAAAAATTTTTCTACTGAACCAAATGAGCTAATTTCAAAAATTTATTATAAAATATATGTATTATGAACATTTTTTATGTGGGTGACTTTTTGATTCGATGCCCGGAAATACCCTCATTCGTTAGCGGCTGAATTTCGTAAGCGGCTACGACATTAAAATTGAAGAATAAAAGAATACACAAGTTTTATGTAATATCTTTAGCTTAAAATTTCCGAAAGCTAAAACTAATACAGATTTTGATACAATCTTTTTAGGAAAACTTAGAAAGCCACATTGTATTTGAAAGCTTCAAAACTGTAAAGCGTCAAAATTTCATTTTTCCCAGCCCAGCCCGTTAAGTTCAGTTTAACAATTTAATTAGTAAACTACCCTAAAGTCTCGAGTATAAGTTCTTGCCTTAATTTACATTTTCAGCAACACCCGAAGCTGGCTGTGATTCCAGGAGGGCTAACTCGATTTCTACAACTGCTTGACATCAGCGATGACCATTCAAGGACAATCTAAAGGCTCACTGGGAAGAATGGATGTCCGATAGCCGAAACGACCAATTTACCCTGTCGGGACGAAAAAAGAGAGCGAGCTACAAGACAGTTGCGGAATGGGTAAAGAAAAGTTTCGATGCGGTCCCCTCTTCTTGCATTATCAATGGATTTCGAAGAGCTTTGACGGATGAAACAGTTTCGAAGCTAAGCACAGAATTCTTTTTTATGTCGCTTTAATTCCTTTGAATTTCTTTCTCTTGGGTTTTTATACATTTTTATTGTTATATAAGATTTTATTATTGTTCTTGGAGCGCGGGATACTACAGGGTGACAGCCTATCATCATTGCTATTTGTTATGTGCATGGACGTCTGGATCACTATCGTCATTCAGACGATAGTTTTGAAGAAGACGCTGGAAAGCATCTCTTTCGACCGTCGACGTGGACTTTGGCCGGATGAAGAGGCCAGGGAGGGATCCATAAGACTGAGCACCGGAGAGGAGCAGGGCGGACGCGCCGAGCCACGCCCGGAGCAACAACAACAAACAAAAACAAACAAAGCAACAAGTAACAACAAACAATAACAGCATAAAATTGCTATAACCCTCAATAAATTTACTTCTATTATTGTTCTTAAAAAGCAAAAAAGTTATGCTGCAGCCGGGTTCGAACCCTCGACACACCGCACCGGAGACAGCCGTCAATTTGCATGCGAAAACCAAACAGAAATTATACTCGCGACTTTAGGGGTAATTAGTAATTAGTAAACCTCAAAACCAACCTCAATCGTGATCAAATCGATATATTTTGGGAGATTCTTGTCGTTTATTTTAATGATTCCATTGATTCGTGTTGATGTTTGCTTGAAACGGTGCAAAGCCTTGAAATCAAGACTCTCAGCGATCTTCAAAATCAATTCATTCGGAAGGAAATCCATTTCAACAAATATTAACAGAAGTAAGTTAGTAAGATTGAGATTTTGATTTGAATAAATCAATTTTCTTCGATCAAAACAGCCAATCTTTAAGCAGATACGGACAATTACGCATTTCGAATGCCTTTTGGCAATTCTCTTTCGCGATTTTGACTTTCAAAATCCCTTTGGCATTGTCCAGTCTTCGGGATTTTCCAGAAAAATTTCTGGAAATTAACTGGCTTATGCCTAGAGCATCACATAGAATTCTGCACTTGCTTAGATCCTTCAGCGACGATGTGACTTCAGCGACGATGTGACTTCAGCGACGATGTGACTTCAGCGACGATGTGACTTCAGCGACGATGTGACTTCAGTGACGATGTGACTTCAGCGACGATGTGACTTCAGCGACGATGTGACTTCAGCGACGATGTGACTTCAGCGACGATGTGACTTCAGCGACGATGTGACTTCAGCGACGATGTGACTTCAGCGACGATGTCACTTCAGCTACAGGCTTTCGAACATTGTTCGAAATCGTTGTAGCTATAAAATATTCAAAAGGCAAGAAAGTGAAAATGAGGAATTAGAACGAGAGTCAACGATTTCACGGCCCGAAGCTTATTAATCTTTTTCAAAAGTTTCAAAACTATACAAGAAGGCTATTCAAAAACACTGGCCACATTCGACTGGCACTGAAGAAGCTTATGCTTCTTCCCATTTCGGCCAGGAGAATTTCTTTTTTTGGCTACAAATTTAACATGCTTGTAACTTTTGATAGAGAGCCACTTTGCAAAAACGGAAAGCAGATTCGGAATCAGCGTGAAATTCTGCATCGAAAGGTCTAGGTCTCGATCCAAAAAGCTCACCTTAAGTTGGTGCACTTCTCTTGTAAGCTGAATACCGTATTTTCTCTAATAGTAGTGGACCCCTCCGGGCCGAGTTGAGTTAAATAGATTGATTAATTCAATTTGGTAAAGAACTTTGGTACTTATAAGTTATCTCCCCCTTCTCCTAGAAAAAAAAAACCAAGCGCTCAGCAGACTGAAATTTTCCTCACCCACCTCTCCACCAATGTTCCGTTGCGCTTCGCTGATGCAGTTAAATGCTAATTTTGCGCATATGCTAATTGAATTTCTAGTTTCGCATTGCCTGTTTAAATTGTTTTAGACAATATAGAAACTATAGAAAATATAAGAAAACACGGTAATTAGACTATTACCGTCTTTTCTCTAATAGTAGTCACCAAGCCGAGTCGAGTTGATCACTATTTTACGGTTTCCAAGCTTTTGCAGAAGTCCAACACTTAAATCCCCCACTAGATCTCATCGTCAGCTACATTTTACGACCCCATATCGATAGGTTCTGATAAGCGGTTCTCGAGATTTCGAGGAATTTAGGCAACGCCAGGGTGCATTACTTAGAGAGAATACGGTAAATAAGTTTTTTTTTTTGGATTGGCCTAGGGCTTAACCTTGAAATCCGTTTCGTGAGTCCAATGAAATAACGACTTTATTATTATCATTAACATGAAATATGGGAGTTTATGTAACACAAGTTGATGCAATAGTGGTGACGGTAAATCAATATACAAAGTAAATACATAATAAATCAGCAGTAAATCAATAAACAAAAATCGTTTCAGCACAAATTTGGAATCAAAAATTTCAGAAGTTTGCCTTGAAAAACGATCATGATTTGGCTTAAACGTGTAGAAAGCGCCTTAATCTGTCGAAATATGATGAGGTGATCTCCCCTGAGAACCCGATGGACTTTCTTGGTAGGGAAAGTGCCTGGCGCCAAAATTTCCTTCTATTAGAGGCTTCTATTAGAATGAATACGGTATTTCTTATCTAAATCTTTTTACAATCTCCATTTGTTCAACAAAATTCAACAACTTGCAGCTCTACTTGTGTGAAGACAAAAATATTGAAACTGTTGCAAGATGCCAAAGTTACTCATTGATCTAAGCCAGAGGCGAGAAGCTACACATTGATCTTAGCCAGAGGCGAGAAGCTACACATTGATCTTAGCCAGAGGCGAGAAGCTACACATTGATCTTAGCCAGAGGCCAGAAGCTACACATTGATCTTAGTCAGAGGCGAGAAGCTGTCCATTAAGCTTAGCAAGAGACCAGAAGCTACATATTGATCTAAGCCAGAGGCCAGAAGCTACACATTGATCTTAGGCAGAGACCAGAAGCTACCCTTTGATCTTAGCCAGAGGCCAGAAGCTGTCCATTGATCTTATCTTGCATAAAGTTGGTGATATGGAAACAGAATTTGCATTTTAATAAAGTTACATTTATAAGCCTTTATTTGCTTAGAAGATGGAAAAGAATGAAAAGAAATTGATTAAGCCAAAATTCTTTAATTTAAAATTCAAGTTAATTCCAAATAACCGACTTGACGGGGAATTTTTTCGCAGAAACAAATGCTAATTTTTTGTCTATTTAACAGTCTTGGCTTTTGTCTATTTAAACTGTCTATTTAACCCGAAAGTACTCTTCTTTCGTATGGCCAAAGCACTTGAATATTATGCTTCCATACTAATCATTATCATTGTCTTTTGCAAGATCCATTTGTTCAACAACGTGCAGCCTATCGCCATTCGAGTTTCCCTCAACTTTTCCCTTTTCTTTTCCCCTTTTCTTTCCCTTTCCTTTCCCTTTTCTTTTCTTTTCAACCACCATCTCGACCGACTTTTTGTGGCCCGTTTTTGGGTAAAAAAAAAAAACTTTGTGATGAGCGATGAAATGGCAATTCTAATCACCGATTTCTCTTCTCTTTTTCCCCATTTTTCTTTCATTCTTTTCACCAATTTGACCTTCAACTTTTTTGCTTTTCTTCACAGATGAGGTCATTTTTGTGTCTCCTTTTGTTGACCGATCATTTTATGGTTAATAAATTCTCACTTTCTTTTTTTTTTGTTGATGTTTATTTAACTTAGTTTACACTTAGTGTCATATCCACTGCAATAGAGCTATTCAAATTTGAAAATGATAATCGTTTTGATTTTGTTTTGATTCCTACTGTAGTGGATATGAGAAATGCTCTAGTATGCTTTAAATTTATTTATCTGATAGTATTTGTTAACATATGAATCGGCTTCTTTCTTTCGAATCGAATTTCGAATTTCTTTCGAATCTAACAGTGGAAGTTGTAAGTTGTTGAGGTTGTAAGTTGTTGGAGTTCTTTCGAATCTAGCAGAGTTGAATACCTGATTAATTGTTGATCAATCAACTTTCTGAATATTCTTTCTAGCTATTCTTTCTTTCTTTCTTTCTTTCTTCCTTTCAACTTTCTCAGAACTAGTAACCTTACCAATTTGTATTTGTTAACATATGAATCGGCTATGCTTCTTTCTTTCGAATCTAACAGTTGAAGTTGTAAGTTGTTGAGGTTGTAAGTTGTTGAGGTTGTAAGTTGTTGGAGTTGCAAGTTGTTGAAGTTCTTTCGAATCTAGCAGAGTTGAATACCTGATTAATTGTTGATCAATCAATTTTCTGAATATTCTTTCTAGCTATTCTTTCTTTCTTCCTTTCTTCCTTTCTTTCTTCCTTCCTTTCTTCCTTTCTTTCTATCAACTTTCTCAGAACTAGTAACCTTACCAAAGCTTATACAAAATTTAGATTCAAAGTTCAATAACAAGCAAGTGGATTTGACCAAGACGGAGTACGGAATAAAGAGTACATTAAATACAGCTACAGCTACGTTGTTAATTAAGCTGATTAAACTACGTATTAAACTGATTAAACTGATTAAACTACCATAACCTTTGATTAAATAAAAATGGTAAAAAATGGACGAAACTCTTTCGAAAGCGAATTGGCCAAGTACTCTAGCTTTTTCATAACAAATTTTGCACAAAACACTTGAAATTTCAAAGCGAATAGGTATTGCAAAAATAAATGCATTAAGGCTATCATCTAAGGCTGTTAATTGATAGAATCTAAAGCTGTTAATTCATAGAATCTAACGCTGTTAATTGATAGAATCTAAAGCTGTTAATTGATAGAATCTAAAGCTGTTAATTCATAGAATCTAAAGCTGTTAATTGATAGAATCTAAAGCTGTTAATTCATAGAATCTAAAGCTGTTAATTGATAGAATCTAAAGCTGTTAATCGATAGAATCTAAAGCTGTTAACTCATAGAATCTAAAGCTGTTAATTCATAGAATCTAACGCTGTTAATTCATAGAATCTAAAGCTGTTAATTCATAGAATCTAACGCTGTTAATTCATAGAATCTAACGCTGTTAATTCATAGAATCTAACGCTGTTAATTCATAGAATCTAACGCTGTTAATTCAGAGAATCTAAAGCTGTTAATTCATAGAATCTAACGCTGTTAATTCATAGAATCTAAAGCTGTTAATTCATAGAATCTAAAGCTGTTAATTGATAGAATCTAAAGCTGTTAATTGATAGAATCTAAAGCTGTTAATTGATAGAATCTAAAGCTGTTAATTGATAGAATCTAACGCTGTTAATTCAGAGAATCTAAAGCAAATCTGAAATGCCATCAAACCCATCTTTCCCTTATCACATCCTATCACCACTTTTTCTTCTTTTCCTCAAAACTATCAAACATTTCAACGATCAAATTTTCTCTTTTTTTTTCGTCCCAGCATCGTGACCCTTCCCTTTACCCCAAAAATTTCGAAAACAAAATAATGAAAAGAATTTTTGGGCGCGGCCGAGGAATTGACAGATTTTCTATCATTTTATTTTTAAAATTTTACCCGTTTAGGAAAATTTGATGAGAAAACGGTGAACAACTGTTCGAAATTCGATCAATGTTACCATTACTATTGATATTTCTCGTGCACATTGCTTATGCAAGATATCAAGAGGTTGACACGGGTGACGGAAGCTTTTTGAGGTGAGAAAACTCATTGCCATGATACCATTGACTGTTTTGCACAATGTTTAAATCGATTTCAATTGCTTTGGGTATACTTGGGTTATTCTCAAAGCAATCTTTTAGGCAATGACAGAAGCTAGGTCCTAGCTTTACAACAGATTTGGCCCACTCTTCCTGGCTTAGATCTGACTTTAGAAGGCTCTTGTCCTGTCTGGCCTTGTCCTGTTCTGCCTGGTCTTTTTTGCCTGGCCTAGAAGACGAAATTAGAGCATTCTTGAGCTTAATTGTATAAATTCTCAAGTTTATCTTGGCTTAACTGTATAAATTCTAAAGTTTACCCGAAACAGAAACAGTTGAGCTTTAGCCAACTGTTAGCCATAACCAGTGAGGCTAGTAGTGAACTTCTTTGTCTCTAGACTAGACATCGGTGTACTTTATGCTCAACTATGTCACCACAGCGTACTCAATTCGTGATAAGAAGTCAAGTGAAAGAATTGAGTGCACGCGTTAGCCTTTTCTTAGAACACATTACCAAAACACAAGAAATTTCTCCAGAAAAACCCTCAAAGCAAAGGAGATTTTCTTGAATTAAACCAAGAAGGCAAGAGTTTTCTGTTCTGTTTCTGTTCTGTGACACTGTTCACCGATAAAAAGCTCATTATTCAGTTAAGTAGGTAAAGAAAGTTTCAATTAAACATAAAGAAGTCATTTATCAAATCAAAATCAAATCAAAATCAAATAAAAATCATCAAAATCAGTAAAACTTAAAAGTAAAAACTAAAAATTCGTTTATTTAAGTGTTGAGTCGGATGATATCGAATTTGATCTTGATCAACCATATGCGGGAAGAGTGAATTTGAAATTCGGTGATGAAACGAATCCAATCGGGAAACAATCAATCGCTTTCTTTCATGGCGGATCATATGTATCAGTGATTAATAAAGGAGGAGTAAAGGTATGCATTCGATTGTTAACTTGACTTGTACTATTGTTGTTAGTCTGTTGTTAGCCTGGTTTTGCTATCGTATAGTTTCGAAAATGAATTACGCTAGTAAATTTGAGTAAATTTGAGTAAATTTGAGTAAATTTGAGTAAATTTGAGTAAATTTGAGTAAATTTGAGTAAATTTGAGTAAATTTGAGTAAAATTGAGTAAAAATTGAGTAAAATTGAGTAAAATTGAGTAAAATTGAGTAAAATTGAGTAAAATTGAGTAAAATTAAGTAAAATTGAGTAAAATTGAGTAAAATTGAGTAAAATTGAGTAAAATTAAGTAAAATTAAGTAAAATTGAGTAAAATTAAGTAAAATTCAGTCAAATTAAGTAAAATTAAGTAAAATTGAGTAAAATTGAGTCAAATTGAGTCAAATTGAGTCAAATTGAGTCAAATTAAGTCAAATTCAGTAAAATTAAGTAAATTTCAGTAAAATTAAGTAAAATCAAGTCAAATTAAGTAAAATCAAGTCAATTAAGTCAAATTAAGTAAAAAAAACGACAAATTAAGGGAAATTCAGTTATTAGTGACATTAAGTTGGCTAAAAACTTGTCTTTTAGCCAACTCAATGTCACCCTAAAAGCATCTAACTTGAAAAGAAAGCTTCTTTTTTCAGATGGAGCGCAAATTCGATGGTGATTTCTGCACGATTCGCCTCAAGGATTGCCATTGTGGATCAAGTCGACGAGAACGATTTTTCTCTTCTCAATCAGAAAACGAAGAAAAACAAAACCCCTATCAACAAACCTATCAAACACCGCAAGAAGATTACTATACAACAACAACAACTGAGGCCACATATCCAACACCACCACCACAAGAACAACCAAATCGATACTATTACAATACTCAACGACCACCGTCAAAGAAATACAAGAAAAGGAAATATAAACCGAAACAACCGATGAGAATTGCGGATGATGAGGATTCTGGGCCACCAAAACCGGATTTTGGAGAAGATTATCCACCGGCTGCCCCACCAGCTCCACCGACAGATCGACCAAGGCAACAGGCGACCCCATATTACACTGATGTATGACCAAATATTTCTAAACATCCGAAAAACCGCGGCGAGTTTTTCTAGCTGAATGTTTTGCGGTCTATGGGCGCATGGTCTGTGGGCGCATGGTCTGTGGGCGCATGGTCTGTGGGCGCATCGTCTCTGTGGCGCAGTCAGGAGCGCGCAGGTCTAAGAGTCGCAGGATCTGGGTTCGATTCCCTGTAGTGTCACTCGAGCTTGAGTCTTTAATTTTTGAATTTAAATGGCATAACTATAGTATAACCTAAGGCTTTCCAAAGAAGTTTTAGCTTTATTGGTCAAAACACGGTCGAGAAAATGTACAGACAAACAGACAGACATTGCTCTTTTATAGATTCAAGAAAAAGCTTCAGATCTTGAGCTCCAGCTTCAGATCTTGAGCTCCAGCTTCAGATCTTGAGCTCCAGCTTCAGATCTTGAGCTCCAGCTTCAGATCTTGAGCTCCAGCTTCAGATCTTGAGCTCCAGCTTCAGATCTTGAGCTCCAGATCTTGAGCTTCAGATCTTGAGCTTTAGATCTTGAGCTTTAGATCTTGAGCTTTAGATCTTGAGCTTTAGATCTTGAGCTTTAGATCTTGAGCTTTAGATCTTGAGCTTTAGATCTTGAGCTCCATAGCTTTCAACTTTGATCAACTTCTGAAAAGCTTTAACTCTTCTACATCAAATTTCCTAGGAAAAGACCGGTCCAATCATCAATCGACGAGTCTCTCTGTCTCCTGGACACGATTTGAATGTAAAATTTCGATAAGCAATCAATGTTTTCGACAAGTTTCAGATCCAAAGCATTGTCGATTTCGAGATTGGCCATCCCCGAACAGATTGTGTCGATTTAGTCGTTCAAAAGCCGCGCAATATCGAAGACCCAAGCTTCAACAATCAAGTGTTCGTTTTAAGAACTAATTTACGCACTAAAAGCCCCAAACTTTCACTAATGCATAGATAAAAACTAAAAATAGATTTCTAGCTGATTCTATAAATTAGACTGGTCAAAAAAGAACTTCAACATTTCCGGTTAAAAATCAGTGATTAAAAAGCTTGTAGTTGGATCTAAGCCTTTGGATACGGTTCACCTCTGTGTGATACTGGATCCGGGGTTAAAAGTCCGGGGTTCTCCGGCGAGTCAGCATTCCCGGTTAAAAGTCAGTGGTTAAAAAGCTTAGAGTTACTCTGAATAATTCAGAGTGCTCAAAACAAGCGTTTCGTTTGAATGTTTTTGCATGGAATAATGGAAAAGGACTTCGGTTCCTTCGAGTCAGCATTTCCCACTTTTTAGTATAACTGTCAGTTTTAAATTGATTTACTTTCTTAAACTTTAAACTAATCCAAGAAAATACTAACAATAAGCTTTCAGTTTCCGCTATTTCTCTGTTCTCATCAATATCACCAATTATTCTCCAGAACAAGTGATGATTTATCGAGATGTCGATAATGTGCAATGCAAGTGAGTTTGAGAAATCGGATTGCAAGATTTTTGGGTTCTAGCATTGGAACAACCGATCAAAAAGAGTATGAACCGAAGAGAAAAAGACGACCTTTCATGAAAACATATCAAACAACGACAACTGAAGCCACAACAAGATTTATTCGACCTTACATGTAAGTTTTTTCGCATAAGATTCTGATTGTGTTGATAAAAAAAACTCATAATTTACTTACACGATGCTAATTTGAGTTTAAAACTTTGGAAACACTCAATTTTCCCTTTTTTTTGACCAGTAACCCTTTTGAGAAAATGTCTCGGTGAGGTAAGTGATTGAAAAAAAGGAAAATTGTTTGATGTCTTTCATAAGCGCTTAAAAAGAAATACAGTTAAGTGGAACGGGAAAAGGAAAGAAAAGAAAGGAAAGAAAAGAAAGGAAAAGAAAAGAAAAGAAAAGAAAAGAAAAGAAAAGAAAAGAAAGCAATCATATGTTTAGTGAGATTTTTGATGCATTGTGTAGACTTGACTATCGAGAGCTTATCGAAATCAATATCGAGATCTCTAACTTTTCCAAAGACTTTAAAAATGATAAAACCTAAGTCTCGAATATCGACAGTATTCAGCGCATCGAATTTCCCTTTTAAAAGGATTTGATGGAGAATTAACTTTACCATTATCGATAAGCTTATTGAGAAAGCTTATCGAGATCTCAATCTTAAAGAAAGCTTATCGAGATCTCAATCTTGAAGAAAGCTTATCGAGATCTCAATCTTGAAGAAAGCTTATCGAGATCTCAATCTTAAAGAAAGCTTATCGAGATCTCAATCTTGAGGAAAGCTTATCGAGATCTCAATCTTGAATAAAGCTTATCGAGATCTCAATCTTAAAGAAAGCTTATCGAGATCTCAATCTTGAAGAAAGCTTATCGAGATCTCAAAGCTCTCGGTAACAATAATATCAATAAGCATCGATAAGAACTTATCAAGATCTCGATCTTCAAATCTAGTAGTGGGTATTGATTGAAAGGGATCAAAACTTGTATTCTTAAATTAATTCAAACCCTATATTCAATGGGTTAATGAATAGATCGTATTCAAAACCTAAAATCAAGTACTTAAAGCAGCTGCATTAACTTTTCAGAATGTTCTATTTAAGCAAACACTTATTGCCAAGAAGATGACATTAAAAAACTATTTTTAGGTCATCTTTGTAACAGGTTCTTTGTAAAAAAATTTTGTTTAAAAATAGAGATTATAGAGCGTATTGCTATCTAACAAAGCATTAAATAGAAAAGAAAAAAGAAAGCGTTTTTGTCGTGGAAAAAGTGAGCTGAGTTTAAGCTGGAAAATAATGCTTTTTTTTGTTGCTAATGATAAAATTTTAGGAGAAAGCTTATTTTTTACGAGGAATTTCTTGGAGTCTTGTAAATAATAGAATAGAATAGAATAGAATAATAGAATAGAATAGAATAGAATAGAATAATAGAATAATAGAATAGAATAGAATAATAGAATAATAGAATAGAATAGAATAGAATAATAGAATAATAGAATAGAATAGAATAGAATAATAGAATAATAGAATAGAATAGAATAGAATAGAATAATAGAATAATAGAATAGAATAGAATAATAGAATAAATAATAGAATAGAATAGAATAGAATAATAGAATAATAGAATAGAATAGAATAATAGAATAAATAATAGAATAGAATAGAATAGAATAATAGAATAGAATAGAATAGAATAGAATAATAGAATAATAGAATAATAGAATAGAATAGAATAATAGAATAATAGAATAGAATAGAATAGAATAGAATAATAGAATAGAATAGAATAATAGAATAATAGAATAGAATAGAATAGAATAGAATAATAGAATAGAATAGAATAATAGAATAAATAATAGAATAGAATAGAATAATAGAATAGAATAGAATAATAGAATAGAATAGAATAGAATAGAATAATAGAATAATAGAATAGAATAGAATAATAGAATAAATAATAGAATAGAATAGAATAGAATAATACAATAAATAATAGAATAGAATAAAGTGTTCTTGAATTGGTGGATTCGTTTTTTTCGAAATTCGAGTTCAAATCTCTGCAAAAACTTTCTATTCAGTGAGATTTACGGTATCATTATGAAAGTTTTGTTTAAAAGTAAGTCTGTTTAATGTTTAAAAGATTATAAGCTAGATCTAGGCTTTGTCTTTGGATAAAATTTCATCTAAAGTCCATCTTCGATCTTCGATTCATATCGATTCAATCGTACTTTTTCAGGCCCGAGCGATCCATCCGTTTACCCACTACGAAGGGTTTCGATTATGAGGGAAAAGTGGGATTTTGTAAATCAAATATTTTAGATGTTAGATTTTTATCTATATTTTTATCTATTTAATACTTAGCTAAGAGCTATTCTTCAGATAAATCTCGACAAGGAATACTCAATCGATTTCGAGTGCAGTGTCCCGTATCAAGTCTACCGTCCGACACGATACGATATCACGATTACATTGGGTAAGATTAAAAACTTTATCATTGATTTACATGGATTTGATTTGATGGATTTACAATTGTTGGAGACGTTACAAGGCTCGCGTAATTCATTTATTGGATTGGTGAATTGAAAACTGCGGGCTATTGTCATATGTGAGAGTTTTCACACTTTCTTCAAAAGAAACCCATTTTGGTGTCAATGGAAAAGTTGTAGAGAATCAAAAATCAAGCTTATATCCAAATTTTCAGAACGATTCAAAACACTGGTTTTCAAGAAATGCCAAATTCACGAATTTTCACAAAACTTGCATTTTAAGCGAAACTACTAAGTGTATCTTTTTGAAAATTTGGCTATAAGCCTCATTTTTGATTCTCTACAACTTTTCTATTGACACCAAAATGGGTTTTTTTTGAAGAAAGTGCTCAAACTGGGACATCTCCAGTCCTCCATTTTTGAGTCTCACACTTGTCTCACACACAAACCAAAATCCTACTACGAAAGAGGAATCCGCAAATTGCCTGTAAAATGGGCAGAAGTCGTCAATAATGATGGAGATTATTTGGAATGAATTGATGGTAAAATGTTGAATTAATTTTAGTTCAAAGTCCCGCGGTTTTCAATTCACTAACCCAATAGTTTTGGATTCAGTTTTGGATTCGGTACAGATTCGGCTCCTTTTCGGTACAGATTTGGTTCCTTTTCGGTAAAGCTTTGGTTCCGGTTCGCTACAGATTTGGTACCTTGTAAAATAAATAGCCTTGTTTGGGAACTTTTGGCGCATTCTCCATACAGGCCGGACCTCGCCCCTTTTGATTACTATTTATTCCGGAGCATGAGTAATAAGCTTGCGGGAGAACACTTCGATTCGGAAGAAGCAGTCAAAAATTGGCTTTGAAAGTTTTTCGATTCAAAACCAAAATCCTACTACGAAAGAGGAATCCGCAAATTGCCTGTAAAATGGGCAGAAGTCGTCAATAATGATGGAGATTATTTGGAATGAATTGATGGTTTTATGTTGAATAAATTTCAGTTCAAGCTCCGGCAGTTTTCAATTCACCAACCCAATAGATTTTATAAACTAAGTAATACAAATAAATGAAAATTTCTAGGCTACGAGGGTCAAAAACGACCTGAATCCTATAAGAGCGAGCGTTTTGGAAGATACAATGTGGATTGTGTGAATTACTCAAAAGATGTAAGAAAAGGCTAATGATTATAATCTAATAATATCTTCTGTATGTAAATATCTAATATTATTTAAATATTTAGGATGTAGATTTCTCGCAAGAAGGTAAAAGGGCCACATGTCGAGTGGGACAACCGAGAGAGGAAAGACAAAGCAGTTTTGGTGAGAGATCTGGTTGAAAAAAGAGTATAAAAAGTTATTAGGATTAATCTTTATTCGTTTATTCAATAAACTCATCACTGATAATCCTAGTTGTTAAAAATTATGATATTTATAAGGAGAGACTTGTGTCGAAAGTCGAAAGGTAGCTAATTTTGAGTTACAAGTTTTATTGATCACTCTTCTTGGTCTTTCAATCAGCTCAAGCTCCTTTCTTTGGATCTAAAAATCGTTTTAAAGTAAGACTCAGACTTCTTGACGATTTTTCGTCACTTTTAGTCCAATTGTCAATAGATTTACAACAAAAAACGAGACACTTCAATATCTACTTTTTCTGGATTTCTTGCTGATGTTAGAATCTTTTAAGTTCTTTCTTTTGGTCTAAAAATAAAGTAGCCATTGAAGCGGTCAAATCTCGTTCTTCCGTTGTACACCTATTGACAATTAAACTGAAAATTAATAGATCTAGTCCAGACATTCTCTGGGATACGGTAAGGTGTTTAGAAAGTACAAGACACATAAACTAACTACCGTAAATACTGTAATAGTACCCCACCCCCACAATGACGGTGCGCAGTGTTGTGTAGTCTAGCTTTGAACGAGTTTTTCTCAACACTGGTTTATGCTACGATGCGCGCTTTGGTATCAAAAAATAGCCCTGAATTTCAGCTATTTTTTGATACCTAAACGCGCATTGTAGCATAAACCAGCGTCGAGAAAAACGCGTTTTTCCGGGATTGTTGCGTAGTCTAACTTTAAACATTCGGTTCTCCGCGCTGCTTGATGCTACGAGGCGCGCTTTGGTATCAAAAAATAGCCCTGAATTTCAGCTATTATTTGATACCTAAGCGCACATTGTAGCATAAACCAGTGTTGAGAAAAACTCGTTCAAAGCTAGACTACACAACACTCCGCACCGTCATTATGGGGGGTGGGGTACTATTACAGTATTTACGGCAAGCTATTTATTCCATGATTTCTGGTAGCCTCTGGAAACAGAAAAATAAAATACCGTAAATACTTTAATAGAACGCCATCCCCATAATGACGGCCGTAAAATCGCGTAGTCTAACTTTGAAGGTCCCGTTCTCGGCGCTGGTTTATGCTACAATGTGCGCTTTGGTGTCAAATGATAGCCCTTGAAATCTAGTATTTTTTGGTATCAAAAGTGTAGTTGGGAAAAATCTAGGGGCTGAGAAAAAAAATGATTTACTAAAAAGGAAGTTAAAGTGGCGTTCTTTCTGAGGCATCTCTTCCAAATTCCCAGTTTCCCAAAGTGGTAATAGAGGTGATTATCAAAAAATAGCCCCGAATTTCAGCTATTTTTTGATACCTAAGCGCGCATTGTAGCATAAACCAGTGTCGAGAAAAACTCGTTCAAAGCTAGACTACACAACGCTCCGCTCCGTCATTATGGCGGTGGGGTACTATTACAGTATTTACGGTAAGTCGTTAAACCCTTTGCATCCTTTTATAATAACAATAGTCTTTAATAAGCAATAAATCTATTTAATATTTTGTTCTGAGTCTAAATAGTCATTTAATTACATAGCTATAACATTTTTTTTTATTTTATATCTATTTTTAACATATACCGTATTTTCTGTAATAGTAGTGCAGGCTGGAGGGGACTTGAAAAAATAGTAGTATTACAGAAAATACGGTAACATTAATATTTTAGGTATTCGTCGTCGTCTTTTCAATCTCGATGACGGTCTCTCATTTGTGATCATCGGTGATGGAGAATGGAAAGTGGAACAAGATGGAGATCGATTTATGATCACAATCGGACACTCACCCAGGAATCGAAGTGAGTTGGCGAGAAAAAAATTCAAAACTATTGAGTTGCGGAGAATGAAATGGCGTTGACTTTTAAAGAATTTTCTGTAGCGCGTAAAACCTCCATATAATCTATTGTTTTTATAATCAAAAAGATCTTTCATTGCACTATAAAATGGGTTTTGAGAGATTCGGAAAAACTTCTGTTTTGTGGATTTTATGATCTCCTAAACGCAATCAGTTAAAACCAGCCAGAAAAATCTAGCCTAGCGGCGGATTTTTCTGGCTCAGTGCAGAGGGTTTTTTTTCACCTCTAAAGGAATCGAACCCGTGATATCTCACTCAAATAATGTAAGAACAAAAAAAGCAAAAAAGATTCAAAAGAAAGACCGGACCGGGACCGAACCCAAGACTAACCGAGCCCAACGTTGCTCAACTTGGCAGATCGGACGCCGGGACGCACTGCCACTTGGCCACCCGGTAGCATAATTTCGCTTTGAGGAAAAACGGTCAAATTACCGTATTTTCTCTAATTACATTTTCTCTAATGTAATTTTTGTAGTGATCTCGTCAGTTATTTTCTCTAAATAACGATTTATAGATGCTCTGAAAAAAATGATCTTTGAGTTCTATTTGAAATATGATTTGTAAAGAAATAAGTGAGCTTTCTAAAGTAACAATTTGTTATTTGATAAAGACTCCTTGATTTTATCAAAGTTTCTTTGAAAGTCGGCATCATTTCATACTCCTCAACCCAATAATTCGTTTTTTGGTAAGAATCAGTCCCAATTTGGGGCCTCTCCTTAACCCATTCGAAACTTCTGCAGCGAATAATCGCCGCAGCAAAAACTCAGGAACGGACCGCTGCAGTGATTATTCGCTGCGCTATTTTCATTCAATTAATTGCTTTTTTTTTGCTGTTTTTCAGCATTACATGTATATTCCAATTGTAGCAGATCTACAAATTACGTGGGCAAAAAAGATGTTTCATATTTACCCGGAATCTAATGCAGTCTCTGGTTTTGCATTGAAATGTTCCGTAATAGCTCTAATCTTATAAAGCCGATCTCCTGCAGGATCCAGTTCATTATCACAAAAACGCAGGTTGCGAAGAATAGATTCAAATTTTGCTCTTGACATAATGTGGGACATGTGGGTAAAAACTCCTAATCCAGGCCTGCTACTCCAGTAGTCACGAATCCTCGGTAATTTGACGATTCCCATTTGAAGCCAGGAAGAGCTTGAAAGATTTTGCATCGAAATCCTGCCAGTTTGTTTTCCTTTTTCCATGTTTATTAGATTCGCCTACTAACATATTAATTAATTTGTCGTCGATAAAATAAGAATAATAATCGATAGGATCTTGAAAAGTACTGAAGTCAAATCCAAATCGTTCTTCATCAAAAATAGATGGTGTAGGTGTCTCTCTTACATCTCTCCAACCATAAATAAACTGCTTCGGAGTCAAAAATGTCAAAAAAGGGCTTGGTCCGTAGACGAAGAAAAAGAAAAAACGCTGCGGTTTCGAATGGGTTAAAGACTTTTAGTATTTGTTCAATGATGAGATCAACAAGATCACCAAGATCAACGATTTCTTCTCAAACTTTCAAATGATAGTGTCATTTGATAAAGATACTTCTAGATATTTCTAGTGTCGCTTGATAAAGACTACTTGATGTTATACAGGGTGGGCCAAAATTACCGTTACATATCTCTGTATAAAATATAAAAGAGTCTCTATATAAAAATGCAACTCAAAAGGTTAAAGATTTCTCTTAAAAATAACTTTTATTGTCTCATAACAATTCATAAAAACTATTCCTTTAGCTCCAATATCCAATAATAACAGATCTCCAATAGCTTTTACACAAGCGTCCAAACGTCGTAGAAAAGCGTCGATCGTGGCGAGAAGGAGATCCAATTCTTCCAGATAGGAGATCCAACTCTTCCAGATAGGAGATCCAATTCTTCCAGATAGGAGATCCAGCTCTTCCCAAGCCTTTTCGAGCGCTTTTTTCAAACTGTCAACAATTGGTTGATAGCGTCAACTGATAGCATTTGTGATTTATTTTTCTTGTAGGCCTTTAACTTGAGCTTGTTTTTGATGATTCTTCTAAGGGATGTTCCCCAGTTTTTGTGACATTTTCCGCACCGATTAGTTTGGCGTTTTGAACAGGCGATTCCTCACTTTTTTTGACATTTGCTGAAGTTGTTACCGTTCTCTTTCTTCCATTTCGCTTTTCTCCCTTTTTGTTTTCGCATTTGCGCGTGAGTGAGCATTGTAACGGTAATTTTGGCTCACCCTGTAGAAGTCGGCGTTTTTGAAACTCGCCGCCATTTCACTCTCCCCAATCCAACCGTATGAATAATGAGAAATTTAACTTATTTTTTTGCAGTGCCATTGACGAAATCGCATTCGGAGTACACTTTCGGGCGATACACGATCGTCATCGACAATTTCACCCTCAAATATTTCACACTAGAGCAGGTATTGTTATCAGGTTTAAAGTGTTTAATGGCTATAGACGTGTAAAAAGGATTTCTTTCACTTCTTTATTACTAATTCTGATTCTGATTTTCAAGTGCGAGCCCACGGTTCTAAAGACCCAGGTATTTCCTTCTTTCTTCCTTTCTTCTTCCTTCTTTCTCTTGGCAAGCTACAATACCGTTTAGCTCTAACGAGCAATAGCAAAAGCAGAAGGTCTAGGGTTCAATCCCTTTCCAGGAATCTGCTTTTTCTTGCCAATTCCACTTCTTTATTACTCTAAAGTAAACTCAAGATATGTGACTAGGTTTTGGCTAGAGGACTGACCTAGAGGACTGATCTAGAGGCTAGAGGACTGACCTAGAGGACTGATCTAGAGGCTAGAGGACTGACCTAGAGGACTGATCTAGAGGCTAGAGGACTGACCTAGAGGACTGATCTAGAGGCTAGAGGACTGACCTAGAGGACTGATCTAGAGGCTAGAGGACTGACCTAGAGGACTGATCTAGAGGCTAGAGGACTGACCTAGAGGACTGACCTAGAGGACTGATCTAGTGGCTAGAGGACTGACCAGACACAGGATATTATTAGCCACTTTGACTCTGTAATGTCACTGATATATGCACTGTTCCACTAGCATTACGATGATTGGCATTAGTTTGTTTTTAAAAATTGTTCTTTTCAGATCAACAACCGCCTGCAATGCATAATCGGCATCAATCAACGACGCTGAAAATTTTTTTTGATTCGAGAGCTTTTACGAATCTTAGAATACAATATCGGGTGTTATTTTCTTTGAAAATCTTTTATGTACATATCATTTTCGATAAATGTAAATGTTATATAGATTTATTCATCAGAAAATTCATCAGAAAGATCAGAGACGCCGCTGGAACTTTTCCCAGAGCCTAGCATACGGGCTCTGGCTTCTGGTCAGGCTCAGGCTTCTGGTCAGGCTCAGGCTTCTGGTCAGGCTCAGGCTTCTGGTCAGGCTCAGGCTTCTGGCCAGGCTCAGGCTTCTGGCCAGGCTCAGGCTTCTGGTCAGGCTCTGGCTTCTGGTCAGGCTCTGGCTTCTGGTCAGGCTCAGGCTTCTGGTCAGGCTCTGGCTTCTGGTCAGGCTCTGGCTTCTGGCTAGGCTCTTTGCCTGGCTTACAGTCCCTGAAGTCGATTGGATCTTAGCATCGATTTTTTACCAACAGATTTGTTACTAAAAATACAGTCTATAACAAATCTAGCAGTCAGTACACAACTAGATACTACAGGATGTTCAAAAAAGTTCCCCAATTCAACTCAAACTTCTGAAAAAGCTTAAGTGGCTCAGAACAAATTTCAGTTTTCTTTTATTTAAAGTCTCATTCATTTAAAGTCCATTTTTTCAAGAACTTTAGCCTTTTTTTGCTTTTGATTCGAGAGCTTTTACGAATTTTAGAATATACCGTATTCTCTCTAATAATAGTGCACTCTTTAATAGTATTGCGGTTCAGGAGGGGGTTGAAAAAATAGTAGTCGAAAAATCGAAAATTGTTGTGCAAAGGGCAAAAACATCTTTTTGTTGTTTGTCAACACACAAACTGTCAACTCGCCGGCCCACAACTGTATGTCAAAAGGAGCCAAAGGAGTACGTGAAAGAGTTGCAAGAATTTTTGGAACAAATCTTATATCTGTCTTACTTTGGTAAATGATAAAACTCTTTAATAGTAGTGCACTCTTTAATAGTATTGCGGTCCAGGAGGGGGTTGAAAAAATAGTAGTGCGCACTACTATTAGAGAGAATACGGTAATAGAATATAGAATACAATATCGGGTGTTTTTTTCTTTGAAAATCTTTTATGTACATATCATTTTCGATAAATGTAAATGTTTAATAGATTTATTCATCAGAAAATTCATCGTTTTTCTTTTTTTTGAATACCGTAATAATGGAATGACTCGTCTAGGCAGAATTGGATTGAAAAAGATTGAAAAAGTCTTTGAAATTCAAATCTCCATAGGAGAAAATACTTTTACAAATGAAAGGAAAGAGAAGAGAAGGCATAAATGGAGAATTGGAAAGATATAAAACGATTTGGATATAAAAATTGTGACAAAATGGTAGTGATTTGGAATCGTGCTGAGTTTTGGGTAAACGCACGCGAACTAGAGCACTGGATCTTCAGTTTTTAGTCGTTTTTCAGTCGTTTTTGACTGTTCATAGATCAAATTTTAGCTTGAATGGTGCGCTAGATCGCTTGCGTTTACCGTAAAATTAAAAACAAAGGTGAAAAACTCTAAAAATCACATTCAAATTACAAATTGGGTTAAGCTTTGGGTATTGAAGCTCTTAGAAGCTTTGGGTATTCAATATAGCTTTTAGAAGGATCTAAAAGCTATATTGAATAGCTTTTAGATCCAATTGACTATGGAAATTTCAAATTTATCAAAAAAAAAGCCCAAAACTTAACTCAAGCTATAAAAAAGAGCCCAAATCGAGTCGAATTTTAAAGTTTATTTTCTCTAATAGTAGTGCACCCAGCGAGCCGAGTTGATGACTATTTTACGGCTTTCAAAGTTCTCCCAGAAGCTCAACACTCTAATCTCCCACAAGATCTCATCGTTAGCTACATTTTCGACCACACATCGATAGGTTCTGATAAGCGGTTCTCGAGATTTCGAGGAATTTAGACAAAGCTCTAAGTAGACTTAGACTGTTCGGTTCAACTAAAGCGTTCAAAATTGGAATATCAGTTGAACATCTTTGAGCAACTTTAGGTTGTAGATTAGATGCTTTTCCCTGATTATTTTCTAGTAGTGCACCAGTGCAGCCGAGTTGATGCCTATTTTATAGTTTTCAATTCTCGAGATGTCGAGCAATTTAGACGACGCTCAGGGTGCACTACTATTAGAGAAAATACGGCAATTCAAATTCAAATTCAAATTTATTCTTGCATCATGGTGACAAATTCGATGAACGAGATCCTCCCATCGCCGTTTCGATCAGTTGCCTTGAACATTTCTCTCGATGCTTTCTCGTCTTTCAATCCACCGCATTCACGCAGTATTTTGTTCATTTCCTCTGAAATTTCCCTTTTCATTGGTTCATTTAAATTTAAATTCTTTCATTTAAGATTTAAACTTAAATTACTTACTGAAAATTTAATTTTAACCCTCTAGTTGGAACTAGAAAAGATCAAAAACTGGGACTCGAACCCACGACCTTTCGCTTACCGAGTAACCGCTTACGAGTTGTCCAACTGTGCTAACCATTACACCAAAACGCACCTGATCTCCTTTACTCCAGAGGGAGTTAACTCTATCACCTAGTTCTCTCCGTTTTCTAAAAAGCCCCTGTTCTAGAAAGCTACCGCACAATGATCTAGTTAAGTCCCTCTGGAGAAAGGGAGATCAGGTGCGTTTTGGTGTAATGTCGCGTGGTGGTTAGCACAGTTGCCCGGCAAGCGAAAGCTCACGGGTTCTAATCCCGGCGGTACGAGTTTTTAATCTGCCCTGATGCCAACTATCCACGTTATTCTCGTTTTCGATTTTCGATTAAAATAGGATCATACGTTATCCAACTAAAAAAAATCAAAATTTTGCTTAAAATCTGTCTACTCAAAATCAAGCTGACAACTTTTGACAGAGGGCCGTTTAGCAAAAACGGAAAGCAGATTTGGATTCAGCGTGAAATTCTGCGTCGGATGGTCTAGGTCAGATGGTCATTTCGATTGGTCACCTTGATTTTGTGACCTTCCCTTGTAAGAAAAATCAAAAAGTTTGCCTAAAATCTGTCTACTCAAAAAAAAGTTAATACAGAGAACATGTTCTAGGCTATTTCTTTCAAAAACTGCAACGTTTCAACATGAATTTCTTCTGATAAAAGCATTGATGATCTAATGAACATTTTGCAAGAAATTTGGACTTAAACATAACTAGAGTGACGGTAAAAGGAAATGAACAATAACAATACATAATCGATAACAATTTTTCCATAATCTGAAGGTTGCTAGACATCAATTGCTAGACATCAATTGCTAGACATCAATTGCTAGACATCAATTGCTAGCCATCAATTGCTAGCCATCAATTGCTAGCCATCAATTGCTAGCCATCAATTGCTAGCCATCAATTGGTTTATTTCCATTTCCATTTTCAAAGTACACACAGAAATCCCCGCAATCCCCGGGTACTTCCAGAATCGAATCGAATTTGGAATTTGAAACGTCAACGCAAAAAAAATCGAGAGAATTGGATAAAAGTCAATCTAATTTTGAGCAGTTTCCTCAAAAAATTTGTGTGTTTTCAAGGAAAATCTTGAATAAAAACAAAAATTTGATAAATGCTTTGCCAAAAGTTTTACTTAAGAGTTGGATAATGTAAAAGTTGAGAAGAAAATTCGAATTTCAAGTATTTCAAGAAACTTGCCATATGTAATCTCTCCATCTCCATCTTGATCGAATTGCTTGAATTGTTTCTCTAATTCTCTCAAAGTCGTTCGATGAACGGGCGGACTGCGCATGTAGCGAACGAATTCTTCTTTGTTGATCTTGCCAGTTTCTGAAAAGATAAATGAGTAAAGGGATTTCAATAGGAAACCTGGCTCTGGTCTTGTCTTGCATATCTACTTTGTACCAGATGGAAATTGACAAGAACAACCCAAGACAAGACAGAATTGTTCTAAATACAGTTCAAGTATGGCTAAGGTCAACTCAGAAATCTGGCTCTGGTCTTGTCTTGCATATTGGCCTAGCATTACTCACAACTCTGGATCCAGGGTTGGGGTCTGGACCTGAGCCCGTATGCTATGCTCCGGGAAAAGTTCCGGCAGCATCTTTGTTCTTTAATTATGGACTTTAACGTAGCCTAGCTAGAAGCCATCTAAAGCTTGCCCTAGTTACCATAGCCCAGCTAGAAGCCCTCTAAAGCTTGCCCCAGTTACCATAGCCCAGCTAGAAGCCATCTAAAGCCTGCCGTCCATAGTTCGTCCATCGTCCATAGTTTTCCATAGAACGTACTTCCAGAAAGTCTTCCAGAAAGATTTCGGTAAAATTTTCCGAGGAAAAGTACACAAGAAAACCATGGACGTTTTATCGGAAAGATCAGAGACGCCGCTGGAACTTTTCCCGGAGCCTAGCATACGGGCTTTGGCTTCTAGCCCTGTCTGTCCGTCTGTCTGTCCGTCTGTCTGTCCGTCTGTCTGTCCGTCTGTCTGTCCGTCTGTCTGTCTGTCTGTCTGTCTGTCTGTCTGTCTGTCTGTCTGTCTGTCTGTCTGTCTGTCTGTCTGTTCCGCTGTTTTAGAAAAAACGGTTAAACCAATCGATCTGAAGGTTGACATTACAAACCTAACTTTTTACGTAGTTTAATAATACTTGACACATACCGTATTTTCTCTAATAGTAGTACACCCTGAGCATTGCCTAAATTCCTCGAAATCTCGAAAACCGCTTATCAGAACCTATCGATGTGGGGTCGGAAAATGTAGTTGACGATGGGATCTAGTGGGGGATTTGAGTGTTGAGCTTCTGTGAAAACTTTGAAAGCCGTAAAATAGTCACCAACTCGGCTCGCCGGGGTGCACTACTATTAGAGAAAATACGGTAACCCTTTTTCTCATCTAATCAATCTATTTTTCTATCCCTCACATCACTAGTTTCAAAAATAGATAGGCAAACTAGACAAGCTTATGGTAGTTGAAGAGGAAAGAGTTTTTAAAGTTTTTCAAAAACACAGTCGCATTGAATTCTCGAATTTTCAAAT